TCCGGATGTTTACACAGACTACGGTGTCATCATCCGTGGGTGTCATCATCCTGGAATGTCACCATCTAGGAACGTCATCATCCAGGGGTGTCATCATGCAGTAATGTCATCAGCCACAATTAAGTCCAGTTCCGTGACGTCACAGGCGAGAGCTAGAAGGGGTCAAGCGAGCGTCTCTCAACCATCCCGATGCAATGACGTCAGAGGCACTAGCACAAGCATAAAAGAGAGCTTCGGAGCTCCTGTAGACACCAGTACTTGTCAGACCACTCCTGTATACACTCTACAGCTCTCCTGGCCGCTCCTGTACCCTGTAGAACTCGCCTGACCGCTCCTGTACCCTGGGGAGCTCGCTTGACCACTCGTGTACCCTGTACAGCTCGTTTGACCACTCCTGTACCCCTGTGGAGCTCGTTTGACCACTCAAGTAGATACCAGCGCTCGTTTGACTCAGGGATTCGTCTGTTCATCCACAATCGACATGTTATACTTCACAAGGGTAAATAATCATCAAATAATCTCTTGACGTATCTTTACTTCCAATCGTTTTGAATATGTTTATTCTTAGAATATCTTTAATTTTATCTCCAAGTTAGGAGAGCACGAATCATTTTAGGAAAGGATGATGCATGTTAGGAAAGGATGCAGCATCTTAGGAAAGGATGCAGCATCTTAGGAGAACACGCAGCACCTCTGCAAGGCGAGGCAGAGGTTCTAGGATCGAACCCCACACAATGGATGACGGTGACAGATGAACCGATAATTTGTACAATAACAAATCCGTATCAAACAGGGGATAATAAGAAACTGAAATGCATTGCTAAGCAATGACGTCAGGCTTCATGCAATAACATGCAACTATAGGTTCAACTGGAGTCTAATTATGCCTGAAACACTGCAGATTAGTGGTTTTATATACGTTGAATGCCTTCCAATACTCCACTGTGTTATATTTAAAATGTATTTTGTGTGGATACAAGTTTTAATTATTAATTAATTTGTAAATTGTGGTTTCAGGTAGCGGTGTTGGTGGTGTTGGTCGGCGCTGGGTCATCACAGCTTCCTGAGACATATCCAGACGTAAGTTGACGGGTCCATGTTTGTGCCATCAAGTTTTTCAAACAAGTGACAGTGTCAATCCTGGTCATATTTATACAATTATATGCCATTATTTTCCTCCCCCAGGTTCCTCCTAAGTACGAGTACAACTACGGCGTCGTAGACCAACACACGGCCAACAACTACGCCCTGCAGGAGTCCCGCGACGGGGCCAACACGGCCGGGCGGTACCACATTGCTCTTCCGGACGGACGGGTCCAGATTGTGACGTACACGGCCGACGAGAATGGCTTCGTAGCTCAGGTGGACTTTCAGGGGGAGGCTGTCTACCCTGGGCCACCTCCCTACCAGCCAGCCCCAACCCCCTACCAGCCAGCCCCACCCCCCTTCCAGTCAGCCCCACCCCCGTTCCAGCCAGCCCCACCCCCTTACAACCCTTTCCCCTTCCCTCGTTATCAATAAACATTTACACAACCTAGAATACCTTTTCCAAGTGCCTTAATCCATACAATCTCACCCTTCCACTGTCACCTTGCTACTGTCACCCTGCCGCTGTCACCCTGTTACTCTCACTCAACCACCAAGCTGGAAAAACCTTATGTTTCAACTATGTTGTCACCTAAAATAATATTGTTATATATATCAGAGGAATTCGAAGAAGTGTTTGACTTGCAACAATGATCGATCCCGTCTGTGACATTCATCAATGTTTCCCATTGTTGTGTTTTTCAAGAGATCCATAACCTTTAAGCACCTTTTTGCATTATTATTTTTGTATCAACCCATGTATATCTTGTAACCATCAAATGCATAATAAAGCACAAAAAATAAAAAAGGAAGGGGGTGGTAGGAGAAAAGCACACAGAAACTGTATTGGAGGGGATCTAAACATTCCCTCTAATGCGTTATGCGTGGTTTCCTCCGAGGCTATGGGTCCCCCTTCTTCCAGCTAGAGGTATATATATATATATATATATATATATATATATATATATATATATATATATATATATATATATATATATATATATATATTAATTTAACAATTATGTAGCAAATTCATTAGTCCGTTATACTATATAATAAAGAAATATAAATTCACAAGATTTTCTCAATCCTATATCTCAGCATTAATATTATAGAATTCTGCGGTGATTACTAGATTAGCAACGTTAACGGGTTACTGTAGGAGATTACTGCATTTGCAACATCTGTTTGGGCTTAATCTGAGGGATTACTTTATTTGCAACATTTGTTTGGGGGTTGATGTGGGGATTACTGTATTTACACCGTAGCGAGGGAAGAGATTCTTAGTTATTTAACTTAATGTTAATATTAATATTAATCAGAGAATATTAAAAATTTACAACAGTAAATTTGTCAAGAAAATGCAATACTTATTTCCTTAAGCAGGCAAATACAACTTGTATTGGATTAGGTATAAATTAACTTCAACTGAAATTGCAGAATATATTGAGAAAACTTTGAAATTAAACCCCCCAGTGTTGCACATGCAAATCCCCCAAATTGCAAGGTAACATTGATGACAACAGACTGACAGCACCAATATTATTACCACAACAGCCGAATGAAAATCAGTATACTGTACTTGAAGACAGATTAGTAGTAGTAGGCATCAGGAGTTTCAGGGGCTCAGTTTAATCAGTTTCAGGAGACTGATTAAAGCAGATTGAAGGTTAGGGAATTCGATCAAGACATCTTCAATGTTTACCTTGACAACGTACTGGAGTGAACGATATGGAAGAAAATGCAGATTTTTTTTTTGAGATATATAGAAGAGTTGTTACATGGTTGTAGAGCCACTAGTACGCGTAGCGTTTCGGGCAGGTCCCTGGAATACGATCCCCGCCGCGAAGAATCCTTGTTACAACCAAGTACACATTTTACTGTTGCGTTAAACAGAGGCTACAGTTAAGGGTTTGCGCCCAGTAAATCCTCCCCGGCCAGGATACGAACCCATGACATAGCGCTCGCGGAACGCCAGGCGAGTGTCTTACCACTACACCGATGATGATTGATGAAGATTAAGCCACCCAGAAGGTGGCACGGGCATGAATAGCCCGTAAGTGGTGGCCGTTTGGAGCCATTACCAGTATCAAGAGCTGATACTGGAGATCTGTGGAGGCGCGACTGCACCCTGCGTGACGGGAGATGTCTCCCGTGACCACTACACCACGGAGACTGTTAAATAGAATAGAACCAGTGAAGAGCAGAGGTGCCATAGGCACAATCAGAAAACACTGTATAAACATCAGAGGTCCGCGGTTGTTCAACGTCCTCCCAGCGACTATAAGAAATATTGCCGGAACAACCGTGGACATCTTCAAGAGGAAACTAGATAGTTTCCTCCAAGGAGTGCCGGACCAACTGGGCTGTGGTGGGTATGTGAGCCTGCGGGCCGCTCCATGAAGTCAAGCCTGGCCTCGGGCCGGGCTTGGGCAGTAGATTCAATTCAAGTTCATGTATGTTTATTGAGATAAGAAAGAAATACATCTCAAAGGGATAGAGTAGCTTAGGCTATTTCTACCCCCCCCCCCTTGGGGAGTAGAGGAACTCCCAGAACCCCATCAACCAGGTATCAACCAGGGGCCAGATTCACGAAAGCACTTACTCAAGCACTTACGAACGTGTACATCTTTCCTCAATCTTTGACGGCTTTGGTTACATTTATTAAACAGTTTACCGGCATGAAAACTTGCCAATCAACTGTTGTTAATGTTATAAACAGCCTCCTGGTGCTTCGGAGCTCATTAACTGTTTAACAGTTGTAAACAAAGCCGCCAAAGATTGAGAAAAGATGTACAGGTTCGTAAGTACTTGCGTAACTGCTTCGTGAATCTGACCCCAGGTACCTGAATCACTGCTACAGGGCAGACGTCCTTCCGCACCGACACTCCGCCATAACAGTTGCTAGTGCCTCCTGGTAAGGGGACGACGATCGTTTCTGGGTTTGTTTACATTTGCACTGGTGTTCCAATACTCCACAACTACATTTTCTAAGTATTCAATTTCCTTAGTGTCTTGGGTTTCCAATTATTAGCTGATAATTTATATAACTACTTTTAACGCACTTTTTTTCATCACTGAATATGTAAGTGTACTAGCGTACTTATATTTACGGATCCTCCAAATTATATACTTTTGGAAAATTTAGGATGTATATTTAATAGATAAAACTTAAATTTACTTAAATATACCTATTTTTTTCTGTCAAATTTCTTATACAATATATTTTTTCATACTTTCTTACAATGCATTTTTATATCTTCTTAGAATGTACTTTTATACTTTCTTACAATGTACCTGTAAACATTTTTTTTTTTAATTTTGCTAGAAATTAACGTCTTAAAATTATATGTTAGATTTAGGATCTGCCCGGAACGCTATGCGTGCTACTGGCTTTACAAGAATGTAAAACTTCAAGTCTTTGTACTATAATAAACCCAATGTACCTTCTTATAAATAAATAAATAAATAAATAAATATATAAATGCGTTTCTACCCACATCTGGCACCCTCGGGCGGGAAATTTATGGCGGGAATTTTGAAATAATTCCTAAGATAACCTGATATCTTACAATGCATGTTAAGGGTTGTAATGGGGATATACTATAGTTGCAACATTTGCTAAGGGATGCTATGCTAGTTACTGTCCTAGGACCTCTCCTAATTCTTATATACATCAATGATCTGCCAAATGTTTCTAACATTCTTAAACCTATATTATTTGCTGACGATATCGTCAGCAAATAATACTACCCTCATCTTCTCAGACCCCAACCCACACACACATTAAATAATGTTGTGAATAATGAATTAAAAAAGTCCACTTATGGATATCAACCAACAATCTCACACTAAATATAGGAAAGACCTACTATATCTTATTTGGAAGCAAATCATCAAATGAAATTCAGCTTCAGATGATAGCCAATGTAAACATTAGTAATAAAAATGATGGAAAGTTCCTTGGTCTATACTTAGATAAGAGACTCAACTTCAGCACCCACATACAACACATAACCAAAAAAGTCTCAAAAACTCTTGGTATATTCTCTAAAATCAGATATTATGTTCCACACTCTGCTCTCCTCTCATTATACCACACACTAATCTATCACTATCTAATATCTAATATACGGTATCTGTGCATGGGGTTCAACTACTGCAAATTACCTCAAGCCCATCATCACCCAGTCCAAATCTGCTATCAGAACAATAACTAACTCTATTTTCAGACAACACTCAGCCACTCATTTTAAATCCCTAAACATGCTAAACATAAACTCACTCCATACATTCTCTTGTGCTATTTACATGTACAAAACCTTATTCCTAAATGCAAATCCTGATCTGAAACTCTTCATTGACAGATCTAATAGAACCCATGATCCCTACACCAGAAATAAATATATGTTTGATATCCCCAGAGTCAAACTTAATCAGTGTAAACACTCCATGCAAATAAAGGGCCCTAGGCTATGGAACTCACTCCCTATCGCATTAAATAGCTGTCCGACCTTTGCCTTATTGAAAAATACAACCAAAAAGTACCTAATTTCATCCTCATAGTTTCTACCTAGTGCTTTAAACTCGCACTGTATCTTATCCCCCTAAATATGTGTCTAAGACATGCAACTTTACCATTGTAATCATGGCTGTCAACTTATAGTTGTTTTGTTGAATGCAAATTTTACTACAATGTACCTATTAATATCCTTCAAATTTTCTTACAATGTCTCAATTAATATTCTGCAAATTTTCTTACAATGTACTTATTAATATTCTTTAAATTTTGCTACAAATTATCTACTTAAAATTATCTTTTAGATAAAGAACCTTTGCGGAACGCTAGGCGTGTTAGTGGTTTTACAAGAATGTAAAAACATCAATGTTATGTACTCTCATAAACCCTATGTACCTTCTTGTATATATAAAAATAATAAATACATAAATAAATAAATAAATGTTTAATATGCAATAGTTTCTATAATTACGAGCAATTTTAATAAATTTTTATATACTAATTAGTTATTTTTATTTTCTATGTACAAATAAGTCATAATTTTGTTTTATTTCAAATAAATTTATCCAAAACCTTGTTATTTAATATATTAGAAAATTTGGTGTAGTTTTAAATTCGGTGCAGTTTTAAACATACACACAGGGAGGCATGCGGCTGAGTGGACAGTGCTCTGGGGTCGAAGTCCCTAAGAGCTCGGGGTTCGATTCCCGGACGAGACGGAAACCAATGGTCAGAGTTTCTTTCACCTGAACTGGTGAACTGATGCCCCTGTTTACCTAGCAGTAAATAAGTACCTGGGAATTAGACAGCTGCTACGGGCTGCTTCCTGGGGATGTGTGTGTGTGTGTTAGAGAGAAATATATAGTAGACGTAATACAGGAAAAATAGATTGGTTAGAAAGGCGGGGTCCAAGAGCTAATAGCGATATTCTGCAGACACACATAGTAAATACAAATATTAAATACACACATACACACGCACGCATATACACACACACCCTCTGGGATCGTTGTCCTAAGGAAGGGGCCCGGGTTCGATTCCCGGAGTAGAGGCGGAAATAAATGGGCAGTATCTTGCACCTGTGCCCCTGTTCACGAAGTAATTCATAGATACTCTTGAGTTAAACAGTTATTAGAGAGAGAGAGAGAGAGAGAGAGAGAGAGAGAGAGAGAGAGAGAGAGAGAGAGAGAGAGAGAGAGAGAGAGAGAGAGAGAGAGAGAGAGAGAGAGAGAGAGAGAGAGAGAGAGAGATCTGCTACTCAAACCTGCAGGCACAAATAGTAAATACACACAATACTAAAACCATCGTTAACCTCAAAGCTTCAATTAGAGAGATTACAGCAGAGACGCAACATCACGAACACGTACAGCTCTCGTCCTGGCAACTACAACTTAGGCAATTACACTTAAGGCAATTACAAACACACACACACACACACGTATATAAGGCGGTGTGTTGGCCTCCACGCAGCAGTGCTCGGGTCCTGGTCAGAGAGGATGTACATGAGGGTAAATATGTTTTTAGAAAGTATGTCAGTAATGAGTCCTAAATTGTCCTTTGGTTAGTTAAGCACAACTAACTGTGAATTGTTAGGGGTCACCCAGAACAACACACCGTCACTTCAACACTGATTTAGTAACCAGTGTTGAATATATATATATATATATATATATATATATATATATATATATATATATATATATATATATATATATATATATATATATATATATACAAATCATAGCATAAGTAAGAACTCTGTTTAGTGTTTGCAGGTAATAGTTGTGTGTGTGTAAACTAAAAGTCTTTGAAAATGTAATAAGTTATTACGAAATGCGTTCAAGTGTCGCGTCAGACTAGAAATAAAAATGAATTTTGGAGAATTGATTTTTCAATTACCATCAACAGTGAAAAGAAACATAAGAAAGATCGAGAAAATTCGTGTTAGAATTATTAATCTTACTTTTTCGGTCATATTTAATAATATATGTCTACAGGAAAGACTGCTACCAAAATGTGTATATATATATATAATAATAATAATACTAATATAATATATTTTAGATATAATAATAATACTAATACTAATATATATATATATATATATATATATATATATATATATATATATATATATATATATATATATATATATATATATATATATATATATATATATATATATATATATATGTATGTCGTACCTAGTAGCCAGAACTCACTTTTCAGCCTACTATTCAAGGCCCGATTTGCCTAATAAGCCAAGTTTTCCTGAATTAATATATTTACTATAATTTTTTTCTTATGAAATGATAAAGCAACCCTTTTCTCTATGTATGAGGTCAATTTTTTTTTATTGGAGTTAAAATTAACGTAGATATATGACCGAACCTAACCAACCCTACCTAACCTAACCTAACCTATATTTATAGGTAAGGTTAGGTTAGGTAGCCAAAAAAAGCTAGGTTAGGTTAGGTTAGGTAGGTTAGGTAGACGAAAAAACATTAATTCATGAAAACTTGGCTTATTAGGCAAATCGGGCCTTGAATAGTAGGCTGAGAAGTGCGTTCTGGCTATTAGGTACGACATATATATATATATATATATATATATATATATATATATATATATATATATATATATATATATATATATATATATATATATATATATATATATATATATACATATAACGTTTGATGATACGAAGTGCTACCCAGCTAAAAGGAACTGGGCAATCTTGTTCTCCATTCTCATTGGTTGGCTTGGGCAGTAAGGATGAGAGACAGTTAAATTTTGGTCTTGAAGACGACAGAACACACTTGAGTGTAAGCTGGTTGTTGGATGAGTGTATGTGATATGTAGCGCTTCGGCTATGTCTAATCTCTACGTATAACCATGAGTATACTGAACTTATATAATATCTATACCTTTATCACAGGTTGCAGCTCTGCTAGCAGTGTTGCTACTCGGGTCCACTGCCTCTAATATTAATGAAATCTACTCAGAGGTGAGTTTCTCTTTGATCGTGTTGAATAATAATAGTAATAATAATAATATTAATAATAAGAATAATATTAATAATAATATTAATATTAATAATAATAATAATATTAATAATAATTAGTACTCGTAATGTCTTCTCACAGATATATTAACATAGGATAAAAACCCCACACACTTGTGTATTTTTTAAATTTATGTTAGGAATTTACACCAAGTCTTTCGCCCATTCTGAGTGCTTTATCAAGGTCTCAGTATGTGATTAGGACAAGATTAACATCTCAACGTCTAATCTTATTAGACGTTGAGATATAAGTCTCGTCCTAATCACGCACTCAGACCTTGATAAAGCACTCAGGAAAGTGTGAAAGACTTGGTGTAAATTCCCTACATAAATTTCCCAAATATAGGGTTTTTACACTAAATAATAATAATAATAACAGTAAAAATTAAAATAATAATAATTACAATAATAGTTTAAACAATACTGATGATAATAATGAAGGCACTAACTTTTCCTCTCAGTTTTATTAAACAATAGAGATTTTATACAAAATTTGACAATACCCTGAGTTACTTTACAATTTATTTAAGTATTTTAATTTTGTTTTATTATTTTTATAAAACTGTAATATAAATATAGGTATAGGTTTAGTACTAATTGTAATATCTTAACATACTAAGAAGGCTAGGTTAAGTTGTGGTTTTCTATTCAGCTTTTCAAGGTAAACTGAAATATTCGCAATAAATTAGTATGTCATATATGCACTTATTCATAAGCAAGATATTGACTATAAGCAAGTGCGAGAACGGATTGAATAACAATAATATTTTTCCCTACAACCAGCAATAATAATAGTTACCCATCATGAATAATAAACACCCTTCCCCCAGACACCTGCCAGGTACAACTACAACTATGGGGTCCAGGACGGTGCCAGTGCCACGGACTTCAGTCACCAGGAGTCCCGTGAGGGCCAGAAGACAAGTGGGAGCTACCGGGTGGCACTGCCGGATGGACGGGTCCAGGTGGTGACCTACACGGCCGACGAAAATGGCTATATGGCCCAGGTGGCCTATGAGGGCCAGGTCCAGCCCCAAGCTTGGGGGCCGGCTTCACCCAGGGTTGCTGGGCCAGTCTTTCCCCAAGCCCCCGTCTTCCCTTCGTATCCTGGCTTACCCCCTCCACCTGTGTTCCCTCCTCCCTTTGTGTTCTCTGCTGCACCTACTCCACCACCATCAAAGCCAGTAACTGCCCCACCACCAAACCCAGCTGCTGGCCCACCACCATCAAAGCCAGTACCTGCCCCACCACCAAACCCAGCTGCTGTCCCACCACCTAACCCAGCTGTTGCTACACCGCCAAAGCCAGCTGCTGGCCCACCACCAAACCCAGCTGCTGGCCCACCACCAAATCCAGCTGCTGTCCCACCACAAAACCCAGCTGCTGCCCCACCGCCAAAGCCAGCTGCTGCCCCACCACCTAACCCAGCTGCTGCCCCACCATCAAATCCAGCTGCTGCCCCACCACCAAACCCAGCTGCTGCCCCACCGCCAAAGCCAGCTGCTGCCCCACCACTAAGCCCAGCTGCTGCCCCACCACCAAACCCAGCTGCTGGCCCACCACCAAGCCCAGCTACTGGCCCACCACCAAGCCCAGCTGCTGGCCCACCACCAAATCCAGCTGCTGCTACACCACCAAACCCAGCTGCTGGCCCACCACCAAACCCAGCTGCATATACACCACCAAACCCAGCTGCTGGCCCACCACCAAACCCAGCTGCTGCTACACCACCAAACCCAGCTGCTGCTACACCACCAAACCCAGCTGCTGGCCCACCACCAAACCCAGCTGCTGCCCCACTGCCAAACCCAGCTGCTGTCCCACCACCAAACCCAGCTGCTGCTACACCACCTAACCCAGCTGCTGCTACACCACCCAAACCAGCTGCTGCCCCACCACCAAGCCCAGCTGCTGGCCCACCACCAAACCCAGCTGCTGGCCCACCACCAAACCCAGCTGCTGCCCCACCACCAAACCCAGCTGCTGCCCCACCACCAAACCCAGCTGGAGCCCCACCACCAAACCCAGCTGCTGCCACACCACCAAACCCAGCTGCTGCCCCACCACCAAACCCAGCTGCTCTCCCACCACCAAATCCAGCTGATGCCACACCACCCAAACCAGCTGCAACCCTGCCACCTGTCCCACCACCAAACCCAGCTGCTGCCCCACCACCAAACCCAGCTGCTGCCACACCACCAAACCCAGCTGCTGTCCCACCACCAAACCCAGCTGCTGCCCCACCACCAAACCCAGCTGCTGTCCCACCACCAAACCCAGCTGCTGCCCCACCACCCAAACCAGCTGCAACCCTGCCACCTGTCCTACCACCAAACCCAGCTGGAGCCACACCACCCAAATCAGCTGCTGCTCCACCGCTAAACCAAGGCCCGGCCCCACCACCCAAGCCAAGTATCGCCCAAATACCCAAACCAAGCCTCGCTCCAATACCCAGTCGGACATATGCTTCGGTACCCAGCAACTGGTTCTCTCAAAGGTCGTATTATGCACCTCCTCCTCCTCCACCACCACCACCAGCCCCCATATACAACCCATACCCAGCCCCCACACCTCCACCAGCCCCCATATACAACCCATACCCAGCCCCCACACCTCCACCAGCCCCCATATACAACCCATACCCAGCCCCCACACCATACAGTATATATTTTCCAGCTCAGCCAAATTCTGTCACATACCCACTTTATCCTTGATTAGGCACGTAGGGCTTAAGCCCCATCCTATCCTAACTCTCTCCCTGCTATCTTGTGTTCTCATAATATTTACTTGGTTATTGGGTTCTCTCTCTCTCTCTTTTCCGTTCTCTTTTGCCTCTTTGCCCAAAACGCTATGCATACTAGTGGCTTTAGGTATTGTATGTACTAGCTCTATCTATAAATCAATCAGAATGTTTATAACTCTGCATCTATGTATGTACTTTTCCTAAATAAAATATTATTATTTAATTACATATACCTCGCTCCTCACTTCACATTTATATTTTAAAACATTCTCTCTTTCACTCCAGGTCTATATCCACCACACAACCATACCAACGCAGTACAGCTGCTCAGCCATATTTATAAAATCACCACAGAACTATACCCACTCACGACCACCATTCAACCTTACCCACCAAGAAGAACACCTCATGGTCAACCAGGAAATTTACGTCAGTCCTGGCTTAAGATCTCTCTCTGGAGGGTCATTACGGCTTACTTAACAAGTGCTTACTGACCAATCAGTACTGTAGTCCTGAAGATAGTCCAGGATTAAAATAAACTTGCTGGCTGGTCAGTAGGCTATTGTGGTGGCCTTAATAACCCTCCTGAGGGTGATAGCCCTTATAGTCCCAACACCTAACTAAACTGCATTTTTATATACAAGTTAATTATCAAACTACTTACTCTGGTTTGTAGAGAGACGGCCTCGGATCATTGCAGGTCGGGGGTTCAATCCCGGATGTTCCAGATGATTGGGTACCATCACTCCCTCCGTCATTTCCCCTATGTTTGTTATAAGAGCTTTAAAGTCGTAATAATTCAACACTATCTACCTTATTTACTATATAAAATATTATTGCTGATTACTAACAATGCAGCTAGTATTAATAATGATATTGACATTAGCACTTGTAGTCGGTAATATGCCTAATATTTATGTAAGTAGAAAAATATCACGAAAGATATGTTCATTATAATGAAATTTGAAAAATAAATATAATTTATTTAAAATTTGAAGAGTTTTTTTATATTTGGTGTTAGATATGTACGCATTCTGAGACAATAACCCAAAACTGATTACAAAAATGACTCGGTTGCACTAGAAAACTTTGTGCTCTCAACTGGGCTAATGGGGGACTGATTTAATTATTCCCCTACATAAAACATGACTACAAGCACGGTCCAGGATTAACAAACATTTGCGCAACTGCTTGCGAACCTGTACATCTTTTCTTAGTCTTTCGCGGCTATGTTTACATTTATTAAGCAGTTTATGAGTTCCGAATCACTACGAGATTGTTTATAACAATAATAACATTTGATTGGCTAGTCTCGATGCTCGTAAACTGTTTAATATATTTACCTGAGGGCCACAAGCATTCTAGTGGCCTCACAAGGACAGGAAGCCAGCGGCTTGTTAATTACATGTCCCCCTATTTGTCCTGATGATTTTTGTTATAACCCTGTGGGTGAAGAAGCAACTACTGTTTTCAATCCAACATTGTGACTTCTTGAGCTTGAAAACGTTGTTCCTTGTTTGTGTTACATCTGACCATTTGAAGAAGTTGTCTGAATCAACATCCACGAAACTTTTTTGTGTTTTAAAAGTTTCGGCGAATCCGCCCTGTTATGCCTGTTTTGCAATGTTGTTACCTAACAAATTCACAAACGCCTGAAAGTTGTAGCATTAAACATTATGATAAATATCGTGAGGAGACATTCACATATAGAACTAATATAGCAAGAACTCGGCATTGTGATGTTATAGTGTCTAGATTACGCCTGGTATATAGAGGCATTTGGCAGTTTTTTTCAAAACCCAAATATCGAACACACCAAAATGTCAACTTTGTGAAAGAGAAAACATGCTCTCCCTTGCAGATTATATTGTAGAATGTTCCATATTGACTGACTTTCGTCCTCCTGGGCTGACGTATGCTGAACTATAATAACTATATGAACACTTGGTGATATTTTGGACTTGTATCTAGGATTAACTATGTAGCGTGTTCCACGTCTACATGGTATGCTGCACGTCTACATGGTATGCTCCACGTCTACATGGCATGCTCCACGTCTACATGGCATGCTCCACGTCTACATGGCATGCTCCACGTCTACATGACATGCTCCACGTCTACATGGCATGCTCCACGTCTACATGGTATGCTCCACGTCTACATGACATGCTCCACGTCTACATGGCATGCTCCACGTCTACATGACATGCTCCACGTCTACATGACATGCTCCAAGTCTACGTGGCATGCTCCACGTCTACATGGTATGCTCCACGTCTACATGACATGCTCCACGTCTATATGGATTCCTGTACTCTACATGACATGTTAAAAATTAGTAGTAATTTTACTACTACAAATATATATTGATCTTTAAATTATTATCACTTCAATAGAAAAAAAAATTTCAGCAAGTATTTAACTAAGTTTATTTTTACTTTTTTTAATTCTAAAAAATAGTATACAAAAACTTATAAATTATTTAATAAAATTATTTATTTTTATGTTTTCCTGTATTCTTTATAATATTAACAATTGTTTTAATATGAAATTAAATATAAACAATTTTTATACTAGTGTTCAAAATTTATGAATGCCTTGCCTCCACTCAGTTCTTGGACAGTCCATGTGTCTCTTGGAAATTTGCGTCATTATAATCAGACCAAAAGGCATGAGTACCTTTGAGCTCTGTAATTACTTCATACACTCAGGAATATTGGAAGATATTCATGTGCTGTACCCAGATTTTGCTAGTGGGGGCTAATACATCAGCCTTACATTATACGTTCTCACCTGATTTTTAGTTAAGTGTTGATAATCATTGTATTGATGCTGGTATTTTCTTCCCTGATTCCATGTATGACTAACCATCCTGTGAGATGGGAATATACATATATAAAACGCTAAACTATAATGCCAATCCTGATCTCAAAAGCTTCATAGAAGGTTGTAACAGAACCCATGAGCACCACACCAGAAATAAATACAGTTTTGATATTCCTAGAGTACAACTTAATCAAACCAGAAATGCTCTACAAATCAAGGGGCCCAGAATGTGGAATGACCTTCCCAACCATGTTAAAGACTGTACCTCTCTCAACCAGTTTAAGTTAAAAACGAAGCTATACCTAATAAATTCCATGTAACCCACCTTACCCCCCTGTTGTCAACCCATGTATATTTTTTGTTTTTTTGTTTTTCAAATCAACGCTGTTTGAATGTAATTTTCTGTAATAATTTGTAATTGTATTTGTGCTGCTTTTTCAACAATGTTCCCCCCTCTTTTACCTCTATTTTTTATATGTACTCATCACATCTTTTCTTTTTACCCATTAGTTTTAAGCTGTAGTCATTAATGTTTTTCCTGCCCGAAACGCTTTGCGTAATAGTGGCTTTAGGCATTGTATGTACTAGCTCTATCTATAAAGCCAACAAACTTTGTAAATCTCTTTATGTATGTACCTTACCTAAATAAAGATTATTATTATTATATATATTATTATTATATTATTAGATGAACTTAAAGGGTGTTGTTTTTATCTACACTGTGTAATCTATCATATAGAATAGGGTAGCAACACATTGCTGTGTATATCTAAGTCTGTTAATAATATAAAAATATAATTTATCACACAGTTTACGTCTTATTTCAGACTCATATTTATACGTTACCAGAATTTTCGCCATATTTCATCTAAATTTTTTAGATTAAATTTAAAATATATTATAATATATGCAAAATTATGAAATGGTCTCTCCTCTCTACTCTTTAAAGTAATTTTTTTTTTTTTTGAGATATATACAAGAGTTGTTACATTCTTGTAGAGCCACTAGTACGCGTAGCGTTTCGGGCAGGTCCCTGGAATACGATCCCCGCCGCGAAGAATCGTTTTTTCATCCAAGTACACATTTTACTGTTGCGTTAAACAGAGGCTACAGTTAAGGAATTGCGCCCAGTAAATCCTCCCCGGCCAGGATACGAACCCATGACATAGCGCTCGCGGAACGCTAGGCGAGTGTCTTACCACTACACCACAGAGACTGGTAAATGAATAATAACATCGTTTTCTTTAAATTAAAATTAAAAAAAATTAATTTATTGACTTCTAGACGTTACTACTGCTCGGCTTAGACTCGGTTACAAGTATCTCTGGGAATTCTCATTATCTGCTGATGTAGACCTGACCAAATGTAAACTGTGTCAACAAAATTATTCGCACACCCTCCGTCACTAAGTGATGGAGTGCGAAAAGATATGGGAATTCAGAAACAATTCTATAACCAATGTTCCAACGATGTGTAAATATTTCATTCAAAATGATCTGCTACCAGCAATTTTAGCCAAATATCCCCAGTTTGCTAACTGTAGGTAGTAACTAAGTGATTGTAACCTATCCACCGCTGCCCACTGGATGGGGGGCGGTGTGCAGGACAAACATATCAATTGTGACACTAGCTCTCCACATGTCAGTTGCTTAATTTAGAACCTCTACTTGTGATCGATCTCGAACCCATTGATGATGTGACGAGTTATACTGAATTTTGTAACTAGCTCATCAAGATTGTAACTTGCTTAGCTAAATGAATTGTGGGGTTCAGTCCCTGAGCCCATTATGTGCCTCTGTAACCCTTTCCACTACCGCCCACAAGATGAGTATGGGGTGCATAATAAATGAACTAAACTAAACTAAAACATAATTTTGTATTTATTTATTTATTTATTTGTTTACAAGAAGGTACGTTGAGTTCTGAGAATACATAATATTTGTGTTTTTACATTCCTGCAAAGCTATTAATTCTGCGGTCGGTACACAGATCTTGGAATTACTTAAAAAGTTGGACAAGAGGATTAAAGCTCCTGAAAAATTAGCTATGGCAAACATATGGAGTGTAGTGGGTAGTGAAGTGGGGAATGTACTGGTGAGTGTAGAGGGGAGTGTAGTGGGTAGTGAAGTGGGGAATGTACTGGTG